CCCTACACCACTGCTCTCTTGACCTTCAACCTTCGCTCTGCATCGATAATAACCTCACTGTGAAACACAATCTTTTTTTTCTTCCAGCCTCTTTACTCAATGCATCTGTGACGTATGCCACAAAATGTATACCACGGTTTGCACAGTCGGCTTGCTTCATAGTACTGCAATTTATATACTAAAATAAAAGCGCTGATAGAAAAACCAACATAAATCTCCTAACTACATTACTGAAACTCAAACACTTGCTTTATTGCATACGAGAGATAATCATCAGATGCGATCCCACATACATGAGCAATACAAGTAACTGATGAATTTGTACCTGCAGTACGTTAAGTAGATGGAAACCTTAAGAGGTTAACCTTAACCTTCAGCTTTTCTAGTCAGGCACTCTATGTTTAACTAAGCAAAGAGACAATGCCTCATATGCTTAGGCCACCAAATCTATAAGAATAATAATGAAAAATTGTCCCGCTAGATTCTCAGGACTAGGTAACAGCCTAGACCTCCACCAAAGCACTGCAGTGGGTACGCTGTACACCCCGGATCCACTAACAATATACGCATTACAAATCAAAAAGAAAACGCATTAGAGATTATGTGTTGAGATAAACAGTGATAATCCAGGTGAGACTTCAGGAGAGACGGGCTTCTGCGACCAGGACCCACAGGTTCAATCCCCGAAGCATGGGCTGCTCAGGCAACACCACAGCAGCCTGAAGAACTGCCAAGGGAGCCGCTCGCTGCCCTGCTGCAGGTGCTCTCAGAGCACGGCTGAGAGCGTGGCCAAAGCTCCTACGCTGTGTCTTCCCCCGCTCCAAGGGCTGAGCAGCCCCCAGGAGAAATTCAGCTAAGGCCAGGGGAATAATCAGGGGGCAAACAGTTGAATTAACCAAAGACGACAAAAAAAAATCCCCAGTAAGGCCCAGAGTTATAGTTAGGAGAGACACTAGACTGATCCCTCCACAAGTCCTAAAAGGAGTCAAAACTAAGCAAGGCCAGATGCAGCCCAACTGGGCTGCCAGGGTCTAACAGAAGTTCTTGTTCGAGCAAGGACTGAAGGATTTGGCCTCACAGTCTAGTTATGCCTTTACTTGTAAATATGCAACTCCCTGTAACTTCAGTGGGAACTGCACGAAGGCAGAACCGGACTATGAATATTTAGAATTCACCCAGTTAGTTGGTTAAAAAAGGACCCAGTATATTTTGCTCTCTGGTTCTAGGCAGCCAGAAACAGTCCTGGAAACATAGCCATAAAATGTAACTCTAGATAACTGGGAAACAAAGACTGATACTTATGCAACATAAAACGCTAAGCAAGCGCTACGTGTCGTAGAGTATTTAGAAGCACTTGCATTTACCATTAGCCCAGCAAATCCTTAACACTCGGAGAGTAGCTCTTTTAAAATGATTAATCTCAAAGTTGTACAGATTGTACGAAGATTAATAAAAATGAAGGTTTTACAGATGAGAACGTGTGATGAAAAACAGAGCAGCTTTAGAGAGTTGTATCAATCTAAGTGGTTATAAAAAACCTCATAAAAGATGACATTCTAATCTGAATATTTTAAAAAATAATCAAGCTGCAATTTCTCTCTCACACCATTTTTACTTTGTTAAACTGAAATTGTCTGTCTAATGTAGAAAGCAGTTACAACTTAATCTGAAGAGTTAAGCTTTTTATTATTATTTCAGAAACCAAAAAAGGGAAGCTTTAGGGCATACTGAGGAGAGTTAGAAAATTTCAGATGAAAGGTGAATACACATTGATTCATGAGATTCAGACTTGGAAGAATAAAAAAAGCCAGAAAGCGAGATTACATAAAACAGGCACCACATTAAGCCTCAATTTAATTGTGTTTCAATGCAGGAACAGGAATTTTAGGGTTTAGAAACAGAGCCAAAAATGAGGCAAAGTGAGGGTGTGGGCTAGTCCCGTTGATAACAGAACATAAAGGAAGAGAAGTAGAGTTAATTCCCTCTGCTAAAATATTTACCATCCTAGCACCCTGGGAAAAAATATGTATGGAGACAGCAAAAAGATTCTGATTAGTTATATGGAAGATCATGTTTCTGCCTGTTTTTTGTCTAGTACTATTATGGAGGGTAGACTATAAAGCTGCATTTTTATCTGCATTTTCCAAGGCAAAGGAATATTAAAAAATGTGATTTCACAGATTACAGCCCTTCTGCCATCCCCAATGAGAAAACCAGCTGGTTGATGAAAGGAAGGCGCTGGATTTTCAGGGGACCCTGGTCTCTCTGACTTCAGTAGTCTTTGTTTGGTTTGGGTTTTTTTACCATTGACCTGAGTGGAATCAGGATTTCAGCCAACACTTCCCTTCAAAATGAGACCCTCAGCTATCAGTGGGAAAGGGAAAATTCGGTATTAGAGACAATAGGTCATTGCCCGTTTCCAACTCATGTTGATTGCAGAACTGAACCCAAGCAGGAAATTTTGCACCTCCAAATTTTACTAATAATGCAATCATGGCTAAACACAAAACCCTTTACAATTCACTCCTGGACAAACTAAGTTTCCACTGTCTTGTTTTAGATGCAGTTTTAATAGTGTGCTGCAGAGATCATACTTCATTTTCCTTCCAGTGAGCCTGAGCGAACAGCAATATATACAAATGTCTGTGGAACATGCTGACTACTTAACAGCTGAGCAAAACCAAAAGAAAAAACAAACAAACAAATTTTGCCTGGTTATATACTTGATTTCAGATGACTGTTGGAAATATGGATCAAAATTTCTTTGCTTCAGCAGCAGCTGAAGAGACAACTATGCAATATTTCTGTTACGTCTTGTGTGTGTGGCTACACTTCTTGTCTACAATGCCATATCATTTCCTGCTTGGTATAAATCATTTCTACGTCACTTTTATACAGATCTCATCCAAATATCAAGGAGGGTTTTATAGCCACGAGGTCTGCCTCTACGACACAACTGTGAAGAGAAGCAGTATTGTCCACATTGGACAAATAAGACAGCAACACAAAAATATTAAGGACAGAACCTGAGGGGAAAGGTATCCACTGACATGGGACATCCATTTTGAGATGTCTGGGACCTGAGTTCTCAGGGTAGTAAACAAAGGACGCACTGGCTTTCCTGCAACAGTATAAATCTGATTGCAGCTGCTCCAAACAAAATACCACAAAATTAAGAACAAACCACCAGCAAACAGTCTGAAGAGATAAAATCCAGTCCCACAGTGATGTTCACTGTCTTAACCATGAAGTTTTCCTTTCAGATCCTTGAAGCTGCCAGTTTGTGTGACAGCTCTCGCAGACAAGAAGCCAGCCCTCCCTCTTGTCTACTGAAAGTTCAGAAGGTGACAGAGAAGTCCCTGGGCAAACAGGCAACACATAATCAAGGCACTAGCTCACAAGGACTGTTCTTCCCTCACACGAGTTACAAGCACAACTTGAGCTCAATCTTTGGCATTCAGAACCCAAGTGAAAATCCACAGCACAGATTCAAGTCACTTGGATTATATGGAAGCAGTAGTGGGTTGTTTTCTTCTGCAGAGACAACTGCTTGCAGAGGGAAGCTTATTTTGCGGCGTCAGACTTCCTTTTGGTTTGCCAGCAAGTAGAAACATCTAGAATTCAACTTTTAGGACCTACTTCATGTTCTGAAGTAGTCTGGCTGCAGCCTTTTCTATCTGCTTCCCCATTTACACCTCTTGCCCCTTCCCCTGACAGCCTATCATGTTCTTGTACTGTGCCAAAGGACAACATCTCTGTTCACCTTATGTGTCTCTCTCCACCACTTAGCAATGACTGGTCAGGCACTCTATTCCATACCTTTTACTGCCCACCTCAGCTTGACATTCAGGCCATGTCTTCTGCAGCTCCCTAATGCTTACACCTACTAAAAACACTCAAAGACAAAAGCTCACAAAGACGAAGAAACTTCTTGCCCTCGGTTCCAGTATCTGATGTTAAAATAGCCAAGGAGAAAAAAAAAAAAATCAGGAGAAAAATCTTCTAAGCCCTTAAAAGCCATGGGCTGAAGCAGGAGTCGAGTACATACAATCATTACATAGGTTAGATGCCAGGCTCTTGCTTCTGATCACACACGAACAGGACTGTTCATAAGCTTGCAACTCCATGGGAGTGATCTACACAATGGCTGAAAAGGACACAGCTTTGGCCACCTGACAGTATTCCTTGCCAAATTTCAAACTTCTGGAGCTGATAGGTCAAATATTGGCAAGAATGTAAACAGCTAAAACCAGAACGCTCTCTGATGAACTAGTAGATAACTTAAGCGTAGGAGCTGTTAACTAACTCTACCTGAAATGCATGGCAACAGCTTCATTTCAGTACATTAAACTCAACACCTAACACGAACCCAGAAGGCAAGCTACTTAACTGGTCTACTGTCAAGTATAAAGTGTATGACCCATAAGTTTTATGTAACTGTAGAGTTGTCTAACCATTTGCAGAACTTACTGCAAAACTTAACGTTTTCTTCCTTCTTATAATGTGCAGAAGTCTTATTGAAGCCAGGAAGAATTGCTGAGGAGAACTCAAGGCAAGGAGCTAAACAAGAACTGTTCATCGTTGGACAGAATCTAGAAGCTCCATATTTCAACAGAAAGATTGATTCCAAAATTCTTAAATTACAACTACAAGATTGAGAAAAGCATCTGAAATACTAAACGCCTGGGAATCACTTATGAACAGTTCATATATTTTAAAGATGTAAATCTTGGGAAGAATACCTTATGTTCATGGCAACTGAGATTGGAGGTACTGTGTATTGTAACTCGCAGCCAGAAAAGACAGATAACTATTTTGGCTCGTATTACTAGTGATGAGGCTATGTCTAGCACTGATTTTCCACAGATTCTACAATCTTGGCCTATACCAAAACTTTCAGCTTTGTTTTACCATAGATCATTCATCTTGATTTCTACCCGCCCCCCCCGCCGCTTCATGCATCCTAGGTCACATACTTTACACTGCTAACAGTCTGACTCCTGGACAAGTAAGAAGCCATTTATTTTGTTCGGTACTCCTTTAACATTTCTATTGTGTCTTTTTTTTTTTTTTTAACTGAGTTCCCCAAAGAATAACCTCTTCCTTGCTTTAATAACTTGGACCTCGGTCAAGGTTGATGTGTTTCTCCATTTTGCAGGATATTTTCTTCAGAAGAGACATAACAGTGTCTAATATTGCAATGACTGATCTTTAAAGGGTACAGTTTAAAGAGGAAATCAAAAACATTTATGGAAAATAAAAAAGTAGGAAATAACCTTTAAAAAGAGAGGATCAGCAGAAAAGACACTGAGCTGTGCCCAACTGTAGGCTTTGGGGATCTTCTCTAACCATGAGAGAGCTCCTTGACACATCTCTCTAGGCTCAATTCTCCCATTCATTTCAATACAGATAGTTGACTACGCTACTATCTTCTCCCTCTAACCTTCAGCCACCATTTGTGAATGAGCTAGAAGCAGACCCATAATATTTTTTTTTCCTTTATCACGCTACAGCACTGTACACAAAGTCCATCTTGAACAAGATTTTCACATTCATGGACAACTACGTGAAAGCATGGATCTATGTGGGCTTTTCTAGACTGCTTGGTTATTCACTTGAGACTGCACACGCTCAGACGCCAGCAACGTCTCAAAGCAAGTTGGCGATACCTACCTTCTGTTAGGGGAGTTTTCACAGACAACGTTCTACTCAGGGCAGAATAGGAGACCTTTGGCTTGGTCTCAGCCCAGGTCAAGAGGTGGCTCTGGTGGTGGTCGTAGGTGAAACAAGGTGAGGTTGGGGCAGTGCAGCGACCCAGCGGGTCTCGGTCCTCACTCATGCTCCTCCGGGTGGGCCGGAGGACAACCAGCCCAGAGCAGGACTACCGGAGGCAGCGGACACAGGCTGTCCAGCGGCCGGGCACCGGCCCCGAGGGCTTCGCGCCGCCTGGCTGCCTCCTCCTCCTCCCTTTCCTCCGCCAGCATCCCGCCCTCGGCC